ATCTTAAAGAATAAAGTTACCAGTTTATTTTATTAAAATTTTACTTTTTTGAGAAGTTGAAAAAATTTTAAGTGTTATAATTTTTATTGTTGAGTTAAGACTTCCAGCACCATACAACTCTTTAAGTGGTTATCTCGATAGGAATCATCCATATGACCATTTTCAGATATGAAAACTAAGGAGTCGTATACATTACAATATATATAATTTATTGGAAGACCATGATACCTATCACTTTCATATAATGTTTCATACATTGTAATATATTCATTCTTAGAAAGAATTCCCCTGAAATAGTTCTCTTCTAGTATTTTTCTAAATGGATCACAGATACGGGAGCATCACATTTCTGGTATTTCATGATTACGTCTTACTGTTAAAGAGCCTATCGCATTAATTATTCTTATATATCCTTCAGAGCCTCCATGAGTATTGTATGAACTAATTAGCTTAGAATAGGCTTTACTATCTAAATCCATAATTTAGAATTTTATATCAAATAATCAGTTTATAACGATTTTAGCGATTAAGAGATTTATAGTAATTTTAGTGATATATAGCGTTTTTAGCGAATATTTCTTATTATAGCAGTTTGTAGCAAGTATATTATAATAAAATATCAGATTCATTTTTATTTGATTAACTTCAGGGTAAAAACATATTTATAATTATTTTTTTGATTCAGTTAAATTAGATCTGAGATAATATACACAACATGTTCATCTTTGTATTACGGTACATCTGACTCCTTTCTAGCACCTCATTAGTCCCAAGCGCTCTCCCATTACTTTCAGTTTGTAGATCTCTCATGATTGATAGGGGGATTAGCCAGACGCTTCGCATGATGTACATTATATCAGGAGTGAAGACTTTTCTCACTTCCAACTAATAGAAGTAGAATCTACCAGCTAATTATAAATATTTCTGGCGAGTCTTGCAATAAAGTAATGTCACACTACCTATATACAGCATATATTAGTTAAAATGACTCGCAAACTAACTTTATTTATTAATCATAAGAAATAGCAAAGATAAACTAAAAAAAACATTTTTGATATGTGGCGTAGTGGTTACGTGACGTGAACCATAGTTCACGCAATCTGCAAAGAATTTATGATTCCTAAGTAAAATGAGCTATAATACTTTTGATTTGAATACCTGTAAACTTGAAATATTATCTGCACTATAGGATTGAATCCTCTTGACTTTTTTAATTCCTATTTTACTGAATAATTTGAAAATATTTCTTGCCTTCTGTGTCTTCTTACATAAATTTTCTCTTGTAATATTTGAAAGATGTTTTAAAATTGCATTATATACCTGGGTCCTAGCCTGTTGATTTTTAACCCTCTTATCATTATCTTTAACATCCTTAACACTTTTTTCAAACTGTTCAGCATAGTAGTATCAACAGTGAATTTCCTTCTTGATAAGCTTAAGTTACACACTTTTCAGCCTTAATTGCTTTTTGAAATAATTGAGCTAAATTCTACGAGATCGAACCCTCAGAATCCTCATCCTCATCATTGATTTTGGTAGTTTCTCCCTTAATAAGTGTAGATAATTCATGTAACAACCCTCGAAATCTTTCCTATACACGATTGATTCTTGGGGATGTTTCTCTTGATGATCAAATTTGTGTATTAGAAATGTTATCTTCAGTTGTTTGATTAGTCGAATTATCTATCTTTCAATCATAGATTTCAGGGAATAAACAGAATGAAAGATGAGTGTGATTACTATATATTCTATTTTCACTGCATTACCTACCTTATTTGAGAACTATGATTGTTCCTATCATCATCATTTTCAGCATTATCAATGATATCTGATATCTCTTCCATATATGTAATTGGACTTGTCGCTTGATAATACGTAGTAACTTCAATTCTATTTCCCTTTGACCTGCAAGAGAATCTTCATCTTCTATAGTATCATCACTTAAAGAGTCTTTTTTTCTGAAATCCTTATTCTTAGATAATACTCACCAGAAGCTAGTGCAAGTTCCTCCCTAATAAGTTCGATAGGTGATATATAACTAGAAATAGGGCATAAAGGAAAATGTGTTTCTGATTGTACAATATGTTTTTCAAGACATATTCAATGGTATATATGTTCACATGATAATACTGTGAATGAATGAAGTGGTAAGGCAAGAATTTCTTTATCGCAGAAGTGATAAGGATTAAATTTCAGGGTATGTTCATCAGTTATTTTAGAAGTGTTTTTTAGGAAATTTAACGAAAGTGCTTTAAGTTAAATGTCTTAATGATACTACGTATTTATAGGATCTGGATCCTCAGATGAAAAACTGAGAAATATTAGCATATAAACACAATTCCACACTAGATATTAATATATAAATATATTACACTTAATGTGCCTTAGCTTTATTAATTATAATTAAAAAAATATGTATTTTGTTCATATTGCAGAATAATATCTTTTGCTATTAATCTGCCATCATGTGGCTATGATTACGAACTTGAATTTATTGCTTGAAGAGTTACAGCTAAGACAATATTCCAACTTATCTTGAGATAATAACTTTGCTAATTTAGGATCATATAGAAGCTGATTCCCATTTCTACAGTACTATGAGCCATATAATCCATAATTCCTATGTTTTCCATCACAAATAGAGTACGGTGAGTTCTACGGCTAAGCAGATATAAAATTATAATTATCAATCCCTCTGAAACTATTTCGGAATTTCAAATATGTGAAATGCTTTAACACAGATTTGATAATTAACTCTGAATCAGATTTGGCTTCGAAGGTGATAGGCCCTTTTTCTTCACATTGCTCAGAAAAAGATAAATCGGATACTTTGTTTTCTGGCTTTGAATTAATGAAAAGACAACCTTCTGATAATTGCCATGGCTCATGCCCAATTTCTTTTTTATATTTTTTATATAAGTTAAACCAAATCTTATCCATTAAAATGATTGGTAACCCAGTTAATTTGGCATGCCAATTCAGATACTCAGAGGTTAATACTTTATCAGACTTGCTCATATTGCCTTTTTATATAATTACCAATCAATTTAAGTAATAGCCGACATAAATTAACCCTGTATAAAAATATTACAATGAAGCGTAAGCGAATAGATATTGTAAAACAATGACTATGCAGTTATTTCTATTTCATGCTGTTCACATTTAATAAAATAGGATCCAGTTTTACATTGACTTTCTATACTTTTCTTATCATCATGGCCTAACTTGCATAATAGGCATAATGTCTTGTCAGTAATTTCATAATAATCAAAATTTTCACTACTAAATTCTCTAAACAAAGTAGGATATTGATTCAATGTTTTGTTACAAAAATAGGTGCAGTCATAAGTTGGACTATTGAGTTGAAAAATAGGTAGTATCACCTCTATCTTAGTATCAAATTTTTTTGGGACAGATTCATTGGGAACTTGAGATTCAGTAGGTGCATCTGAACTGGTGATATGTGATAAGTCAGAATTTTTCTTATCACTTTGTGAACTCAGTTCACAAAGTTGTGTCTCCATATGAATGCTATAATCAAAAAGCATATTATCTATAATATATTGAATGTCTTCATACATCATTTTTGAAATAGAATCAGCAGAGAAGGAATGAATTTGATTTATTTTATCCATACCTATTGCATTAAAAAGTGTATAGAGCTTCTTAGCCTACTCGATTCTTTTCCGTAAAAGTGCATCAGAAGTATCTGCAGGAAGCCGAGCTTTAACTTCTATATTTAGAATTCTACTGACTGTATTAGACTTCAGATCAACTTTTTTTTCAGATGCAATCTCACTTCGCCTCTGGATAAGAGCTTTCCCAAATTAATAGTAACAAAAGATAGCTTCTTGGTCACACAATCAGCAAGGATTACGGCATCACAAAGTTTTTCATACAAAAGAGAAAAGGTTGGCGTTCCCATTTTTACTGCTAAGGGATCACAACTTCGTATTGTTTTTTCTAGACAAACATCTAAAGAATTCGAGCCTGGCTCATCTATAAGATTGAAACAATTGGTGTTTGAATCTGATTCTCTTTAGGAAGATACTGAAGGTATCGAATCATCCAGGGTTACTTTAGTGTCTACCTCCTCAGACACTTCCTGGATGAATTTTTCCCTTTGTTTTTTCTGATTTTCCTTACGAAGAACCCTTTTGTCAACTGATATCTGCTTATCCTTTTCAGAGGAAACGGTTTTCACTTTCGCAAGCTTCTTCTCCCGCTTTCTCTGCCTAATTCCATCACTAACTCTTTTCTTATTCACCTCATCCAAGAAAGAGTCCATGGTCTTTTCCTCCGTTAACTTTGAATTGGCAGGTACTGTTTCATTTGCTACTATGGAGTCTGGTATGTCAGCAGGTTTTTTGGGAGAGGAATCCTTTCGTGGATGCCTAGAATCTTCTTCCAACTTTGCAACTCTAGCCTTAAGCTCAGCATTCTCAGCATCACGCCTGACATTTTCAACATCGCGTCTAGTATTCTCGATGGCAGTATCTATTCTAGCTTTTTCTAATTCCTCGATTCTATTCCTAAGCTCAGCCCTTAGCTTTGTAATCTCATCCTTGGCCTCGTCATACTTGGCCTTAAATTCAGCATTCTCAGCCATAAGTCTGGCGTTTTCTTGCCTAAGTAAGTCAATCTCGGATGTCATTTTCGAAAATAATTTTATACACTGTATATTTACATTCAAAATAAAAAATTCACGTGATTCCACTTTGTGAACTTAGTTCACAAAGTTTTGCCAAGAAAAAATTTTCGAGTAATGGCATATAGTGTTTTCCAATGCATGCGTCAACCCACACGAAAAAATATTTAATGCATGAAAAATCGCAGGTTTATTGATACAAAAATAAAAATAGTACATGATAGAAATAGCTGAAAAGCGATACACGATATTCTAGAAAATTTTGTGAATCTTTTTATCTAATCTACCTAACGCTAATAATTTCTTGGTGGTGAATATGTAGTCGACATCATTGATGATGACGGGGTTCGATCTTCGATTTCCCGCAAAAGATTAATTTCGTCTTTTATATCCACGGTCATTGCGATAATTTTTTCCACTACGGACCTCATTTCAAGAGCGTTTTTTAAAAATTCTTCCACAGTCTGACGAGAAGAAATGCGTAATGGTATAACCAACTCAGAGATTCGAAAGACCCGATAAAAAATCATTTTCAAATATGTCAAACGCAGATACAGTCACACGATCTCGTATTACTTGGATACCTAAAATAGGTACCTTCCCTAACTTGGTGTTTATCGATCTAGCTGTATCGCTGGTGTCGTCCCTTCCATTAAAGAAAATATTATACCGCTCATCGAAACAATCTTTGCAAATACGTACCACCTTTTTCCAGTCGATGATTTCTTTGTCTAATTGTGGGAGTAATCGTGAAAATTCAGCAAGTACAAGTTCACTTTCTGCCATATCAAGCTTTAGCAAAACTTGCAAATCTGGCTTCTTTCCTGAATTCGTAGCTTCCATCCGCTCCATCCTAGATTGTGATGATTTACTCATCTGCTCGGACCTATAAAGTTAACAGAGTTGGTATTGCTGATATATATAGTTTGTTTATAAAATAGTTGTATAGTCACACACCATGCACGCTTGAGTGGCCATTTTGAATATGTGAAGATTGGATCCAAAACCTTTGATACTGCATGAATCACATAAGCATTCTCGCTATATTCATCTTCCGTCAACAACGGTCTACAACTCCAAATACGACGCCTAAAAAAGAAATATTCTCAATAACACAAGCATTAATAAAATTACACATTAATAACTTACAATCCTTCTAATAAGTCAAAGACCGTCATCAGTATACGTTTGGATTCAACAGGTATTTCTCCTTGTGGGAAAGCAAATGGTCGCATAAATACCGGATCAAAATCAGGTCCCAGATCTTTATATGTCCTTACGAAATCATCTATCATCATATTTATTTGCTCTGGAATTCCCTCATTATGGAATGTATGATGCGTCAAAATCTGCTTTGTCCTCAATGATAAATTTGTAAATAAATCTTTACTACCCGAAAGATCGATAACACCAGATGCTATAGGAACTTCTGGTCTAATTGACGACAAATCTAACCGTTCCAGATGATGGACAACTTCAGTATACGCAATCATAATAGAATCTGAGCAGCCGTTTTTTATCTTAGTTCTCTAAAGATAATAATTCTCTCATCAGCATTAAGTATCACCAATAAATCAAAAATCTGATATTTACTTACACATTTGCCTAATATAAATTCGACATTCTCTCGAATGATATTGACATTGCGTTCTTGTTCTAAAAATTGACGCTGTATAGTGCAAAAGTTATAGATAAGAAAATGTTTTTGGATTGGTAACTATAACATACAAGTAAAAATATGCTCACCTTCTCTTTTTCTCTGGTCCAAACTTCCTTATAAAATGTTCGACGTTGTTCCTAGAATCGGAAAGAAAAAATTAATCTAGCGCATTTACTTAAGTAAATTATTTATAAAATATGTATCAATAAATCAGATATTATGAGGTTATTCATTTTTCATAATAATTATGAGATTCATGCCCACGGACAGCGACGAGGTACACGAGGCATAGCTCGTACCGAACCTAGCGTGAGAAATCACACCGGAACGATGAATCTCCTGTCTGCACCCTTTGATGCTTACAGTGCCAGCACTCTGAAAGCTAAGACATACGCTAAATCTTTATCACGTACACCCGGATACAGACAGCAACATAGGCTTGTGTTTAGTGTTCCGAAAGGGTCGAATCGGGTCGGGTTTGAGGATGTACTCGGACTCGACCCGTTTATAAAAACCAACCCG